GACTGAGCTGCAAAGTTAGGTAGCTTTGGCTGCATCATACTATCCCAGCATAGATCTCAGACAAAACATTAATTAAAAAACATGATATACACTTGATCTAAACGGTTTAAATGCTTTCTTTCGGTTCCTCTATCAACCAATCGGATTTCAAATGCATGTGATATAGAAGTGTGAGACTATGTGAACAAACCTTAAACGGGACCTCCCCAACCCATGTCAGGAAACCGTCCACAACGCGCGGATCCTCCGCCGGTTTGCACCCATCTTTTGTCTTTGCTGCGTCCGTGTTGTAGACAATGTACAAGGAAAATGCTTGTCTTAAAGTGCTGCTTTCACTACTTCGTCTCACGTTTCACTACTACTTGCAGGGAACTAAAGTTAACTCCAAATTCAGGAAACAATGAGACACTTTTCTCCAAGCCAGAAACAGCTCGTAGTAACCTACATTTTCACGGATCGGTTGAATCTGGCGACATAAGATTACAACATTTAATTTGTCCGCTTCATGTCGCAATATATAACGTACGTATATGACGTGTAACCAATGAAACAGAACACACCACTTCGAGCACTTTTCCCACGGTTTGACAAAGATGCGAACACGTCTTTTGCTTCCACAGACATGTGACATACTGCAGTCATCAGACTGCTTGACTCAAAAATATTGCTCACACAGGTAATAACATTTGTATTACTGACTGACCTTGCACAACGCTGGAGACATGACAAGTGCATGTAGTTATGGATAGATAATCAAAATGCAAGGAAGTGATGAAGCAGCTGGTGCACACAAGGCTCATGATAGAAAATTATGAAGTACTATCCAAAAAACCCAACAGCAATGCTTCTCCACCTTCCTCAGCACCCAGCATCTCACGCAAATTGCAGCGACTATAACAGTGATGACTCACGAGTAATGCTTGCTTGCATGCAAGATTTGTTTAGGAAAAGTATCACGCGAGCTTGTACCAGCCATGTGCATTAATAAGTAGTGCTGACTTGTCCCCACTGCTTGGATGAATCGCTAATATAATGGTGTGCAATGGATTAGTTACATGCTGTAATATCTTAATAGGTTCAAAATGCTAGCAAGGTCATAATGAAGTAGCAAATTGCCTTTGAACACTCCTGCAGCAGGGGTGCTGGTGTTTTTTTCAGTTTGCCGACATCACTACCTTGTCATGCTCAAACACGAGCCTTAAGATAGAAGCCGGTATCAATATATCACATTTTATTGGGATTTAAAGAATACCGAAACAATGTCCACTCTCAGAAGCACAAGCCTCGCACGCGCACTCACCATCACCTCAAGATCAATACAAGCCACTGGCACACACCACCAGTCATCACACCCACCTTAAGCGCTTTATTCACACTCTCAAATAAGTGTGATCACCCACTTTTACGACCCGCAGGACTATCAAATTGCAGGTTTTCTCGCACTTTCCGCAGTTTTTCGGTTATAACACCCCATTTCACCGTGAGCTCCTTTTTAAATAAAGTCCCAACGGGGGTTCATGGTAATACAACTCAAGAGGCTATGCTTGTAGGACACAATTTTGTGTTCAAGATTTAGATTTGTCCTACAATATGTGTTAAGTATTAAGTAACAGATATGTAGGTTGCTATTTTCGGCGACATGGTCCTAAGCCTAGTACCAGATTGGTTCGTGGTATCTTCCTGGTCTGGAACCAGGAACTGTTTCCCGGGAAGAAACTTTGGTAACAACGCAACTGTTTGCTTACCTGACGCAATCCTTTCCCAGGGAAGGATTAATAAGATCCAGCTAGTCTGTGTTTGTGATTGAATGCCTGCGAGCAGCTGGGATTAATCGGTGCCAGATACGGCACCGCCGTAGCTCATCTGCGGAGCCATGGCTAACTGTCCAACCTGCATGCGACAGATGAATCAGCTAGCTCCACACGGGTTCTACACACGCTGCCGTGTTCAAGCAGGAAGCTCAGAAGCTCGTAGTACAGTACACAGGCGTTGTGCTCATTTCCACGAGGATGACTCAACGGTGCACGGTGCAGGGCGCGCGCACGTGATGTCTCGAGACCATGGGCGGACAGCACTCCCCTTTCGAACTCAGCTTTTACTGCAGATCTTCCCCCTAGTTCGCGCTGCCTTGACCGTGTCTCACGACTTGAATTATCGAGCAAGCCCAATAGACAGACAGAATGTTACGTCTCAGGCCAAGCTGTTATCGCTGTTCCCATGAAAACTCTGTGCGCTGAGAACATTGAAAACCCACTGCGCTGATCTGGATACCGAGCCACGTCGAACTTGCTGGCAAAAGGTCGGTAGATCAGGCTACAAAGTCTGCGACGTCCTTACAACGAACAGCACCCTCAGAATTCCCGCTAATGAAATGTCAAAATGAACGAGTAGAAGGTTATCAAGAGGCACGCCGCGTGGAGCGATAAGCACCATCATGGCAAGGCCATCTGTGGGCGCCTGGACATTTGGAGCCTAGCGTATGAACAAAAACATGGGCGCTCAGAAACGAGAAAGGTTTAGGTCTTGAGAAGCGATATTCAAGATGATTTTTTTAAGTCAAATCCCATACCAATGATGAAAGCTCCCTTTTGGACGTCAATACGCTTGTAAACCTGTCCCTCCTCCCCTCCAACATCATCACCGTCATGTCCCTCAGCTGCATGACCCGTACTTAGCGGGGCCCATATATCACTTCTTCATGTATGTGCTGATTCCCCGTCCCTATACGTGACCTTGTGAAGCTGGCTTACTAAGAAGCTGTCAATAAGGCGTTGAACATTCGGGCCGAAGTGTTGCAAACATCGTGGGTACGCCCCTGTAGCGTCGTCCGGCGGCAATCCGATATGATGATCTCTGTACAGTATCATCAACCGTGTAAACAGCGAACGACGGAGCGCATGTTCAAAGCTGACTTCGGGTCATCCGGCAGCGAATGACCAGTCGGTCAGCGCAAGTCGAGCGCTGTGCTTATGGAGACGGTCAATGTGCGGCTGTCACATTACCTCTATGTTAATAACCAAACGTTAAGCCGATCAATCACCATGGAAGAAACATTACAAAGCTGTTCAGCAAACCATCCACAACAGATGAATTAATGACGATGGTACATTTGCAGATATTTTTCCAGATGCCATCACTCATGTCTTCCGTCAGCTCGCTGGTTCTTTGCATTAGTCATGTAATGCAAAGTTCGCCGCAAGCTGTGTATCGTTCTCAAGTTCGCAAGATACATACACATATAATTTGACACAACAGCTCTGTGAAGATGAGATCCGCGCATGCAGCGTGAGCCACCCTACGCTTTATCTGTCTTATCCACATTTAGCCACTGGAACCAAATAATTTCATATTCGACGACATGTGATGTCAAAAATTAGGCGCTCATAACGAGGTGATGAGAAAAATGGGGTAGGAATATTTGTCGATATGAAGAAATGCGCGCGGAGAGAAGCGCGACGCCATTGATCGGCGATGCGAGAAATTTGACGTGGCGAAGAATGTGCAAAATGTTGTGCATGAGTAAATGTCACACAATGAATTGCATATACAAATTACTGTAAACGAGGCAGGCAATGCAATCATGCATACAATCATTGTAACTTGGCATGTACCAAGTTTCTCACGATACGAAGATTTACGTAAGACGGAAAACTGCACAGGGTATGCGACGCAAAAGTCTAAACTAAGACACTGCGGAGCGAAGAAGCCCGATAGGAAATTCTCCCTAGAACCTAGTCAACGCGGTGTTTCTTATACCGAAAACTTGGATGATTCCACTGCCGACTCGGACCCCAGGCGGAGTCGGTCAAAGCCGGTATTTGGCTGTCTCCGGGCGTCCGTGGCCGTCCCGGGGACCTCAATACTTCGCGAGGAAAAAACGAAGGGCCTCGACAGCCAGGCAGTTGAAGTCGTGCTCACCTCAAGTTTGAGTGAGAGTGGTGCTCAAATTGGCTGAACGATTGCTTAAACGGTCCTTTCCGAAGGAGTTCTTGGCAGGATGAGTGCAATAAACCAAAATATAGCACGTGAAAGGAAACGCGACATGTTTAGGAAAGGTGTACATTGTGGTCCGGGAAACACAAAACTTTTGCCACATGTGTTGCATAATTAAGTGTGAAGCTCCATCCTTTCATGGCGCCCACCTCGCATCAATGTGAACACCACGCTTAGCTGTAGAGAACTGCGACATATAAGGGTTCACTTCGCGCACTACAAATTCTTGGCAGGATCGAACGAGTCGGGAACAAAAATATATCGCCAATGGTTATAAAATACTAGGCAATGGTGTTTTCGTAATAACACCTACTTCCGTTGATGCGGGTTGATTTGTTGCCTGCCAGGGAGCCCACAGTTTCTTGCCATAAAGGGTTCACTAGTCATGATGATGGACCTGGCCTACGCAAACGCCACTACCTAGTCGGTGTGTTTCAAGTTTAATATCTTTGATGCGTACTGACCACGATTTTGAATTCTGATAACAAGCTTCATATGTCTTCTATACTCTGCTTTGTTTTTGGGCTATTTGCCGTATGTTTTGACATCATTCGGCCAGGTTTTTCACATCTTCCTGACTGCACTAAATTGTATTATTCGGCCACGACGTTCAATAGGTGAATAAATCCAAATCTCTTTTCGTTTACTTACTCAAATGTAACTTGCCTACTAACTTAGTTTTAGGTAACTAACCAGGTACGTTTGAAGAATCACTGACATGGATTATATCCCATACACGTCATGGTCACATGTGTAATCAGAGCGCGCCTGCGGGTGCGCCCACTGAGACGCCGCTACAGCCAGCTCACGGATCGTCAGCGCCCTGGCACGCCTCATTGGTGCGGGTGCGTTCGGCGGTCCGGTGCGGCGGACACCGGCTGGCCATCTACATCGGCCACCGTCTCCGGCATCGGGCGGGCCGTTGGTCTCGGGCAGGAGCAGGCCGGCGAGGCCGCCCAGCAGGGCGAGGGCCGGCGAACACGGCCGACGGCGCGCTCTCGTGCAGCTCACGTCACCAAGTCAACCACGAACGGCGAGAGGGGCGGCACCCACTCGCGCCGGCCAGCTGCCGCAGGCCGCACGCCAGCGAGCGGACCTCGGTGGGCATCAGTTCGGGCCGATCTTGGCGACCACGCCGAGCACCAGCCAGGAGCGTGGTGTCCTTCTGTACGAAGGTGAGTAAGCATGGCAGCGGCCTGCAGCCAGAGGAGGGAGGAGGATCAGCGAGGGTCGCCGTCCCAGTCGGTCCAGCAGGGGAAACACTAAGCTGGAGGGGAATGCCGGCGAGACCGATAAACACCGCGCCAGATGCGGGCTCGCCGCCAGTTGCGTCGTGTCAAACGAGATAACCGAAGTAGGAACCGGCGATGATGAAGCCGAGAAAGACGGCGATGAGTGTTCGGCGGCGCATGTGCGGCGTCCGGACCAGCTGCAGCATCATTTGCAGCGGACTGTGGCCGTCGGTGGTCTTCGTAGTGGTCTGGCGGGACAGCATGTTGTTCCGCGCCTCCGCCATCAGCTGCAGCACCTCCTCCTCTGGCAGCACCCGCGGCCGTTCCAGCGCGCGCCCCGGCGCAGCACGGCACACGCCTCCGGGAACCGGCCCTGCAGCACCAGCCAGCGGGGCGACTCGGGCATCAGCCAGAAGTTGAACAGGAAGATAAGACACGGCACGGCGTACGCCAGCTGGAGCAGCCATCTCGTGCGGATTAGGTACGAGCCGAGCGCGACGAGACAGGTGCCAAAGGCGAATGGCATGATTGAGACGATACCGATCGCGGCGCGCCGCTCGCTGCTGGACAGCTCCATCATCAGCACGTACTGGCTGCTGATCATGGCCGACATGGCGACGCCCGTCAGGAAGCGCACGGCCGCGAAGCTGGCGTAGTCGGTGACGAGCGCGACGGTGAACGCGCAGGCGATCAGCAGCAGCATGGCCGGCAGAAAGACGGGCCGCCGGCCGAAGCGATCGGCCAGCTGGCCGCTCACCACCGAGCCGAACAGGGCGCCGATCATCAGCCACGATTGCAGCAGTGAGAGCAGCGGCTTGCGGCCGCACACCAGCGTCCACTCGGTCACCACCGTCGACACGTACACGGACGGGTCGAACGCCCAGCGCTGACAGGCGGCCGTCGAGTTGGCCGCGTGGCAGCGCGGCGTATCGGACGGCAGCGAGGCGAAAGTGGCATTGGCGGCGAAGCCGTCGGCGCATCTAAACTTGGGCGTGGCGCCGACGAACATCATGGACATGGAAAAGGCGGGGAAGAGCAGCCACAAGACTGACAAGTACCCGATGAGCAGCGTTTGCCAGCGGCCGGTGCCGCAACACCGCTCCAGCACGTCCTCGAAGAGCACCTCCGTCTTCTGCTCGGACTTCTCCTTGGCCTTGCCACTCTCTGCCGTATCCGCCATCGCGACAGCTTACTTGGTCACGAGCACTCCCAGAGGTGTTCGCGTGCGTCGGGCTCAGCGACGCGTCACGCTCCTCTCGGCGCACTCCGTGATCCTGGCCCACGCACACGGTAGGCTCGGAGACTCCGCGTTCCGTCGCCGCACCGCCGAACAGGCGCGAGTGCTTCACGTCCGTCGTGTTACTGGTCGGCAGAACCTGCCTCTGCCACCCAACGAAGGCGAGTGGCCTTACAGCGCCGTTCGGCCGGGCGCCGCGACACGTCCGACCGGCCTCAGTGGCGCCCGCCGCACTGCAGCGGCCGTTTACAGAACCTCCTCCAGACGCACTTGCCACGCGCTGTTCTGGAAATATAGATGTGCGTGCGCGCCCACTGTGCAATATGCATACGTTAGAATCGGTAGCCGAAGTTAAGAACGGGTACAGTAACTGTAAACTTCTCCCAGTTCCCGCAAAGCTTAACCAAATGTGTGTAAGTAAAAAGTAAAAATAAATATATAATAAATAAAGCATAAAGTAAAGTGTAATAAGTAAATAAACACAAGCGCCCATACGTCTACGCGCAAAGAGAACGGGTACTTATGTGGGGTTCTTAGCGTGCATATTACGCATAAAGTAAAAGTGTAGATGAATAAATGAGCGCAAGTTTGTTTCATCTATATAGTTCCCTGTACAGAATGCCGTTTTCGCAACACATATGCTTCGCTGCAGATGGCGTAGCTGCACCACAGAGGCGGCCCAGGGAGGAAAGGAGTTGGGGGCAACCAGGTCATTTAAACTTAAACTGGAACAATCCTTCGGCGTGGATATTTCGACTCCTGATACCACCCCTGCCAAGAGGCAAGGGCTGGAAAAGTTAGAAAGTTGTAGGTGTATGGCTCGCGCGCATTTAGGTATCGGACTGACAAAGCGATGACTGTAAAGTCAGCAAAGATACATATATGAAGTGAACTACATAGGTCAAATAACAGCAGTTTCTCAGAGCGAAATAAATGATAAAACGTGGCGCGAAAAACAGACATATGGAGCATGTATTTTAAGCCATATAACCAAGTTTAAAGCATCATTTCACCAGGTGTTTTGGGTACGCGCGGATGATGAAAGAGCTTGTCAAGTCCTTGGTTCGTTGGCACACACCATTAAACCAATCGAACGACCTATTCTTCTCCGGACACTCGCACACCGCGCCGACTTGGCGCATTCACACTCACAGACAAGGTTGCCGTAATCGGCATATCGAACGGCAGGATGGGCTGCCCACACGTGACGTCACTAAACCCGAGTACGAACACCACGCCTCCCCCGGGTCGATAGGTAGATCTTGACCTTCGGGTCGACCTCTAGCCTCTCCGGGGCCCTCCGCTGACGGTTGCCTCGACGCGGAGCCACCGTCCTGGGTTGGTCCGCAAATCGCACCTTCTTTGGAGCTGGTCTTGGTGTGACGTCACTGCGTGCGGGAGCCGAATCGCCCTATGTGGCGTAAACAGGCCGGTACATACGAATGAACCGCCGGTTTCGCCACATGGTGCGACCGCTGGGGAACTTTACCAGGTAATCCCTCCTTCTTCCGATGGCCATGACTTCTCCCATTCTGTCCCAGAGTCCTGTCTCCTTGTCCTGTACACTCACTTTCGTGCCGATTCGCATCGGGTGCAGTGGCTTTGCTCCTTTGTCGTAGGCTGTAGTCGTCGCTCTTATCACATTCTCCCCCTTCCGGTCGCAGTCCTTCGCACCCCTCTACCAAGCTTTGTCGAAGCGCGATGGTGCATGGGGACTGCCGACCGAACTGGATGCCCGTAGAGGATCTGGGCGGGTGAGCCTCCGTCCACCCGGGGCGTGTTCCGGATCTCCAGGATGCCTCGGGCGAACTCATCGGAGTCCGTGTTGCCGGCCACAGACGTCTTTTGCAGGAGTCGTTTGACTAGCTTGGCTGCTGATTCCGCGTGGCCATTCGACTGGGGGTAGTGCGGACTAGATAGCATGTGTCTGACCCCCCAGCGCACGCGGAAGTCCCTGGTGTGGTGCGCCGTGAACAGTGGGCCTCCGTCGCTTCTCAGGACGTTTGGCACGCCTGTGGAGGAGAAGATCTCACGCAGAGAGCGGACGAGGGTCCGGGACGTCGCTTCTCTGTTGCAGGAGACGACGATGGGCCAACCAGAGAGCCTGTCGGCGTACGCGAGGAACGTCTTTCCTGCGTGGTGGAAGAAGTCCGCCGACACGGACTGGAAGGCTCTCGTCGGCTTGGGGTCGGTCATGAGTGGCTCCTTCTGCACGCTGGGTAGTCTCTCATGACAGTGGCGACATGATGTCACGACATTGTGGACGTCCTGGTCGATGTTAGGCCAGTACACCGACTGTCTGGTGCGCTGCTTTGTCCTGTCGACGCCTTGGTGACTGTCATGAAGGCGTTCGAGCACTTCACGTCGCAGGCTGTGCGGGATGACGAGTCTGCCTTGTGGTCGGGAAATCCTTGCATGACGGTCTCCGCCACCTTCCGGTATGCCTCGTCCGCGCCGGCAGCTTCTTTGGCCTTCCTCAGTAGAGCATCCTGGAACGGTGCAGATCCCGCTCCGTCTTCGTCGCCGTCGGTGAGGCGTGTCAGGAGGACACTGCGCGTCTGGTACGTCACGTCGTGTTCAGCTTTCTGGTCTTCAGGGCTCGGCTGATCGACTGGTGACCTAGACAGCGCGTCTGGGAGCTGATGAGTCTTTCCAGCTTTCCTGGCGGCTGTGAATGTGTATGCTATAAGCTTCTCTCACAGTTGTTGGAGCCTGGGGTTTTCTATCTCCGCCAGAGACTTGGTGTTGGGGATGGGCACCAGAGGTCTGTGGTCGGTGACAAGGCTGAACTCTGTCATTCCAGCCGGATAGATGTGACACGTGCGCACGGCCCAGTTCACCATCAGCATCTTGAGCTCCACGACAGCGTAGCGTGATTCGACCTCAGACAAGAATCTGGAGCCACACTGGACCAGCTTCCACTCCTGGTCGTGACGCTGCAGCAGCGCGTAGCCCAGGCCTCGGAGTCGTGATGCGTCTGTGTGAACTGCGGTTGGCAGTGACGGGTCGAAGTAGGCCAGAACGGGAGGGGTGACGGGCGTTGCTTTGACGGCTTCGAACGCTACCTGGTGCACTGATGTCCATGTCCACTGGTTCCGGGGCCTCAGCAGGTCGCGTAGAGGCTCGGCTGTCCTGGCTGTGTCCGTCGAAAACGCTCTGAGCTGGTTGGCCAGTCCTATGAAGCTCCTTAAGTCTGTGAGGTTCTCTGGAGCGGGGAAGCCAGCGATAGCCCGCGCCTTGCGCTGGTCTGCTGTGTAGCCGTCAGGACTGATGACGTAGCCGCAGAAGTCCAGCGTCTGGGCGGCGAACGTCACCTTCGCCGAGTTCAGGATGATGCCATAGCTGTCGCATCGATGAAGAACCTGGGTCACGTACAGAAGGTGGGTCGAGTAGTCGTTATCGTAGGCCAGGATGTCGTCGAATACCTTGTTCGTCTTCGGCAGGCCCGCCAGTGCTGCGTATCCTCGCCGTCCATACTCGTTTCCGGACGTGCAGAGGCCCATGACGGCGCGTTTGAACTTGTAGCGTCCCCAGGGTGTTATAAAACGCGTCAGGCCCTGGTCTTCCTCTGCGATCGGAATCTGGAAGTATCCTGACTTCGCGTCCAGCTTCGTGAAGTACCGGCTCCCTTGCTCGATTCCGGTGACGACATCGTGAGGCGTGGTGACTGGACGCGCTCCACGCCGAACGTAGAGAATGAGTCTGGTCAGATCCACGCACATGCGCACGGAGGTCTTGCCGTGGCTTCGGTCCGTGGGCGGCTTCGGCACTGGGCCCATCGGGTGACACCACTCAGTCGGGTGTGCCACAGGCGTGATGACGTCTTGCGCGATCAGATCGCAATTTCCGCAGATTTTTGGTTATAACACCGCATTTCACCGTGCGCTCCCATTAAAACGAAGTCCGAACGGGGGTTCATGGTAATACAGCCCAAGGGGCTATGCTTGTAGGACACAATTTTTTGTTCAAGATTTAAATTTGCCCTACAATATGTGTTAAATATACATTAACAGATATATGGGTTGTTATTTCGGCAACATACTTCTATCGAAATAATGGCAGAAGAATAGCACTTCTTATTGTAATTCTTAAATACCACTTCTGCTATTGCTTGGATAGGCATCTTGCTG